AATATGTAGTATGTATTGTGTGTTTTAGTCTCGTTTGGGCTCGTCTGAACTCGAAATTGAGTTTTATTTTTTCCTATACGTAACTAATGAATTCTCTATTCAATTATGCTTGCATGGCCAAATTATTCTTAGAATCATATTCTCTAAAATCTCTAGACCAATACATTTACCGTGTTTCGCGTGACTTTGCCTTTTTGACCCGTTCGGACTCGTCCAAGCTCAAAATTAATTTCCGCTTCTTCCTATATGTCGCCAATGAACACTTCTACACAACCATGATTCCTTGGTCAATTTTTGGTCTACGTCTATTCCTCATGGGCTAAATAATTAACAAATCACCCATTATATAAATAGATGGTCCATGGAGAATTTGTTAATGGGTGATTTGTATTTTGTGTTTCGGGCTCGTTTGGGCTCTTCTGAACTCGGAATTGGGTTTTATTTTTTCTTATACGTAGCCAACGAACCTCTATTCAATTATGCTTGTATGGCCAAATTATTCTTGGAATCATATTCTCCCAAAGCTCTTGACCAATACATTAAACATGTTTCGCGCGATTTTGCTTTTTGGGGTCGTTCGGACTCGTCCAAGCTCGAAATTAATTTCTGCTTCTTCTTATATGTAGCCAACGAACCTGTCTACACAATCATCATTGCCCGGTAAATTTTTGGGCTAAATCTATTTCTCACGGGCTACAGAATTAACAAATCACCTATTAATAAATTCTCTATGGACCATCTATTAATGGGTGATTTGTTAATTATTTAGCCCCATGAAGAATAGATTGAACCCGAAAATTGACCCGACAATCATGGTTGTGTAGACGGGTATGCTGGCGACATATAGAAAGAATCATAACTCAATTACGAGCTTGCACGAGTCCGAACGGGCCCAAAAGGTAAAGTCGCGCAAAGCACGTTTACTGTGTAGGTCAAGATCTTTGGGAGAATATGATTTCAAGAATAATTTGGCCATGCAATCATCATTTTTAATTTGTTTATAACTTAATTCCTAATTTTTTTTTTTAGAGTTCGATTGGGTGCCCTATGAAAACAGTACCTGGAGGATGGTACTCTCCTGGATGAGTGCACAGAAGATCAACATATTTGTATGTGTAGTGTAATACCCCGCTTATCAGAGTAAATTTTTCGCAACTTTTACTTCGAAAATACTTATAATCTTTTTGAAATATTTTGCTTTTAACTCGGGCTGCTACTAAAACTTATATTTTATGAAAATCCATTTTTCTTTAAACTTTGTCTAACTGCTGGTTTAGACATAAAGAAATCAAATTTTAAATCTGTATCGAAACAAGTATGTAAATTTGAAAACCTGTTCATACTGACGAACCAGGTAAATTTGTAAATCTGTAAATACTTAACATTGAAATTCGAAAATTAAATGTGTAGCGGAAAAGTCTTAAAAGCGTGACTTCATATTATACAAACATAAAAAGTCAATAAATAAATGTCCACTGAAACAAATGCACGACCATCACCACCACTTCTGAGCTCACACCTCCTAGCCAACCCTGTTACTTGAAAAACACAATGGGGGTGAGTACTGATCCTCTTGTACTCTATAAAAACGCAGACTAAAGTAAACAACAATAATAATATCAATATCATGATCGTTGGTATATATCTGTACTTAGTCTCTCGGTATCTGGCCGGTAACTGTAACTGAACTATGCAGCTACCGGTAACTGGCTGGTTCTCAAGTGATCACATTCTGGGGGTCGCCACTCACAGAACCCAGTATAACTTAACTTAACTGGGCGAGTGACTCAAGACCGAGTCATCTTAATCTGGACCACGAACGGAATAACTCCATCGTATGGGTAAATCTCCACATACATACCTCAGATATGATATCAATATTATAGTCAATGTAATACCCAGGCTGGGTCCCCACCTTTTCTGCTTGAAAACTTTTGAAAACTGTAAGTGTTGTGTTGGGTAACTGTATCTGTAAGCTACATAAAAATATAAACAAATATACTAAGTATTATGCTCATATATTCAATATAATTCTAGGATGCTCGACTCCATTAGATAACTTATCTAGATTTAAAAAGAAACGGTCTAAAGGTTCTCTAAGATAATATTAATTCTGGAATTAAACTAGTATACTTAAACTGAACTGATTGGACTCGGAAAATACTAAGAAAATCTCAGAATTAACTAAAATGACAGTCAAGATTTATACCTCCCCTTGAATAGACGAAAAACTGAAAAAATCAAGAAAAATGAAGCCTCGAACGCTCAAAACACGTCTTTAACAAATTCACTCATTTTGCTACTATTCCCACTGGAATTCAAGTTTCTCTAATTAAATGCTCGGAACTCTGAAATACTCGATAAATGTCCCGTATCATATCGTGCTTGAATCATTTATACGTTTCAACTCGATTCTTGGTAAACCGAAGTCACACGCGACCTTGCGGGACCCACGTAAACGACTTCATTTATTTTACTAATATGCACCCTCGAACTCGAGCTTCTCTAAATAAATTATCGGGACCTCGAAATAATAAATCGATGTCACAAACGACTTCTCCTCTTCTCGTGCTTTCTTGGAAGCACTTTTTGTTAATTCTCGACTCGCTTATCGAGCCCCGACGGAACAACCGAAGTCGCCTCATTAAATAAGCTAATATATAATAAAAAATAAAGAATATAAATTATAAAATTAATTTTATTTATAAAACGTATTTTTGAAATACGTTTTATAATTAATTAGTTATAAAACATATTATTAAAATGCGTTTTATTTATTAATTTTTAAATATTAAACATTTTATCAAAATACATTTTATTTATTAACTTTTTTTTAATTTAGAAAAAACATAATTCTAAAATGTATTAATTTTTAAAATATAAACGTCTTATCAAAATACATTTTATTTGTTATTTTTTTTTAATTTTAAAAAATAACATAAATTTGAAACATATTATCGAAATACGTTTTTGTAAAAAAAAATTAATTAAAAGAATGTATTATAAGAATACGTGCTTTTTATTTTTTTCCACAATTTTTTTATTTTTTATTTTTATTTTTGTCCATTTTTTATATATATATATATAAACTACCCAAACACAACCCCTAATTGTAAGGTGGAGCAACCCTTCAAGATTTTTTTAAAACAATATCTGTGTATATACATATTATAGAAATAATTGTATTTAAATTATTTTTTTATTTAAAAAAATATGATATTTTGTTATGGAAATGGATAATGTAATTTGAAAAAGTATATTCACTAGCTAATTGTTGGCCTATCACACAACAATGTTACTATATCCTTAAGGTGAATGCTTATGCCCTATTTAAGAAAAAATAAATAAATCTAAATATACACACACATTTTGGTTCAAACAGTGTAATATGCTTACATTTAAAACTGCAATTTTTCTAAAAAGATGCATTTAATTGGCCTATTTTTTTAAAATATCTTAAAATTGTACACTAATTACTTTTCGGCATTATTTTTTGACATTGAAAAATTCATGTCGATTTTCGTATCTTTTATTTTTTTTAGGTTAATTTGTTTTGTGTCTCGGTGGAATTCGACATCCATTCTAGTCGAATGGACTACCATTAGGTTAATCAAATGAACTCATTTAATTAAGAATGTGTTATCATTTAATTCCCAATACATGTTGTACGTATCCATTTTGATAAAGTCCATGTTAAGAGTTCAAATAGTATTAATACAACACTCATGTAATGCACGAGTGTTTGTTAAAAAATGTATTCTTATATTTTAAAATTAATGAGAAAAATTATTATAATTTTTATTTTATTTTTTTATACATATAGTATGGATGTTAAATCGAAACTTATCAAGTGATGATTAATGTGATATATTATATATGTAAAACTGATAAAAAATACAAAAGTTATTAACTATTAACATACATTCACAATTCAACGGTTATAATAAGAAATGATATTAAAATACAATTTAATATATGTAACATGACCATAAATAATCGACATATTCATGGATAATCCAGACCTAATTATTTTTGGTTTGAAAATAAAATTAAGATATACACAAGCCTAATAACAAAGCATCTAATTTTGCCACATAGGATCCTGAAGCATGCGAGTCTGCCACTTAGGCTCAGCACATTCTAAATTAATAATATAAGAGAATAATAAGAAATGATATTAAAATGAAATTAATATATGTAACATAACCATAAATAATCGATACATTTATGGATAATCCTAACCTAATTATTTTTTATATAGAAATAAATAAATATATCCAAGCTTAAAAACAAAGCATGTAATTTTTTCACATAGATCTCGAAACATGCGAGCATGTATTTAGACTCAACACATTCTAAATTAATATAGGGGGATAATGAAAAATGAAATTAAAATGAATTTAATACATGTAACATGACCATAAATAATCGACATATTTATGGATAATTCGGACATAATTATTTTTGGTTTGGAAATAAATTAAAATCTACTTAAGTCTAATAACAAAACATATAATTTTACTACATAAAATCTCGAAATATGAAAGTCTACCACTTATTCCCATCTCAGCACATTCTGAATTAATATACGACGAGTTTGTTAACCAATATTTCATTCTTAATACTTGTTGTATCCATTTTGACAAAGTCAAAGGTCGTATATTTTATTGGTAATTGAAAGAGACAACAATGATCTTTGAATTTGCTTTTGAAATTCTAGACTATCAAAATTATTTTACTCGTGACACGGAGAAATTCTTCACAAACATCACATGCTCCTCCTCATTTTTCACTCTATAAAAAC